GACCATCTTTTCATATGCATGTTGGCCATCTGTATATCTTCTTTGGAAAAACGTCTATGTCATCTGCTCATTTTTTGATTGGGTTGTTTGTTTTTTTGATATGGAGTTTTATGAGCTGTTTGTATATTTTGGAAATTAACCCCTTGTCAGTCACATTGTTTGCAAATATTTTCTCACATTCTATAGGTTGTATTTTCATTTTGTTGATGGTTTCCTTTGCTATGCAGAAGCTTTTAAGTTTGATTAGGTCCCATTTGTTTATTTTTGGTTTTTTTTTCTTTTGCCTTGGGAGACTAGTCTAAGAAAATATTGCTACTATTTATGTCAGAGAATGTTTTGCCTGTCTTCTCTTCTAGGAGTTTTACAGTGTCACATCCTATATGTGTCTTTAAAGCATTTTGAGTTTATTTTTGTATATGATGTGAAGGAGTGTTCTAATTTCATTGATTTACAAATAGCTGTCCAGCTTTCCCAACACCATTTGCTGAAGGCACTGTGTTTTCTCCATCGTATATTCTTGCCTCCTTTGCTGAAGATTAATTGTATGGGTTTGCTTCTGGGCTCTCTATTCTGTTGCATTGATCTATATGTCTGCTTTTGTGCCAATACCACAGTATTTTGATTAGTGTAGCTTTGTAGTATTGTCTGAAGTCTGGGAGAGTTATACCTCCAGCTTTGTTCTTTTTCCTCAGAATTGCTTTGCCAATTCGGGGCCTTCTGTGATTCCATATAAATTTTAGGATTATTTGTTCTAGTTCTGTGAAAACTGTCATGGGTAATTTGATAGATATAGCATTAAATCTGTAGATTGCTTTCAGTAGTATGGCCATTTTAATAATATTAATTCTTCCAATCCAAGAGCATGGGATATCTTTTCATTTCTGTGAATCATCTTCAGTTTCCTTTATCAGTGTTTTAGAGTTATCAGCATATAGGTCTTTCACCTCCTTGGTTAGGTTTATTCCTGTGTGTTTGTGTGTGTTTAGTGCAATTTTAAACTTTTTTTTTTTTTTTACTTTCTGATATTTCATTGTTACTGTAAAGAAATGCAGCAGATTTCTGTATATTAATCTTGTACCCTGCTACCTTGCTGAATTCATTTATTAGTTCTAATAGTTTTTGTGTGGAGTCTTTAGGGTTTTCTGTATAGAGTATTGTGTCATCTGCATATAATGACAATTTTACCTCTTCCCTTCCAATTTGGATACCTTTTATTTCTTTTTCTTGTCTGGTTGCTGAGGCTAGGACTTCCAAAAATATGTTGAATAGCAGTGGTAAGAGTGGGCACCCTTGTCTTCTTCCAGAATTTAGTGGGAAGGCTTTCAGCTTTTCACTGTTGAGTATTGTGTTGGCTCTGGGTTTGTCATAAATGGTTTCTATTGAGATGTATTTCCCCTATACCCACTTCAGTGAGAGTTTTCATCGTGAATGGATGTTGAATTTTATCACATGCTTTTTCTACATCTGTTGAGATGATCATGTGGTTTTTGTCGTTTCTTTTGTTGATGTGGTATATCACGTTGATTGATTTGCATATGTTGAACCATCTTTGTGACCCTGGTAAGAATCCAACTTGATCATGGTGTATGATCCTTTATATGTGTTGTTGGAGTTGGCTTGCTTAAATTTTGTTGAGGACTTTTGCATCTCTATTTGTCAAAGATATTGGCCAGTAATTTTCTTTTTTTTGTAGTGTCTTTGTATTTGGTATCAGGGTGATGGTGGCTGCATAAACTGACTTTGGGAGTGTTTCCTCCTCTTAAATCTTTTGGAATAATTTGAGAAGGATAGGTATACGTTCCTCTTTGTATGTTTGGTTGAATTCCCCAGTTAAGCCATCTGGTCCTGGATTTTGTTTGTGGGGAGTTTTTTTAGTTTTTTTGTTTGTTTTTTATTTCAGATTCTATTTCACCTCTAGTGATTGGTCTGTTCAAATTATGTTTCTTCTTGATTCAATTCTGGCTGTTTCTAAAACCTTTTCTGTTTCTTCTCGGTTGTTCAATTTGTTGGTTTATAACTGTTCATAGTATTTTCTTATGACTTTTTGTATTTCTGCAGTATTGGTTGTTATTTCTCATTTCTTATTTTGTTTATTTGGGTCTTCTCTCTTTTCTTCTTGTTAGCCTGGCTAGAGGTTTGTTGATTTTGTTTATCCTTTCAAAAAAACCAGCTCTTGGTTTTATCGAGCTTTTCTATTGTTGTTTTGATCTCTATTTTATTTATTTCCTCTCTGATCTTTATTATTTCCTTCCTTTTAATGACTTTGGTTTTTGTTTATTTTTCTTTTTTCTAATTCTTTTAGGTGGTAGGTTAGGTTATTTGCTTGAGATTTTACTTGTTGCTCAAGAAAGGCCTGTATCACTCTGAATTTCCCTCTTTGAACTATTTCTGCTGCATCGCATAGATTTTGTAAGGTTGTGTTTTCATTGTCGTTTGTCTCGAGGTATTTTCTGATTTCCTCTTTGATTTCATTGTTGGTTTTTTAGTAGGATGTTGTTCAGTCTCCGTGTGATTTTTTTTTCCCATTTTTCTTTCTGTGGTTGATTTCTAGTTTGATACTGTTGTGGTCAGAAAAGATGCTTGAAATAATTTCTGTCTTCTTAAATTCATTGAGGCTTGTTTTGTGTCCTCGTGTGTGGTCTATCCTAGAGAATGTTCCATGAGCACTTGAAAAGAATGTGTATTTTGTTTGTTTTTTGTTTTTGTTTTTTTTGGATGAAGTGTCCTGTAGATACCAATTAAGTACATCTGTTCTGTTGTGTCATTTAGGATCTCTCTTGCCTTATTGATTTTCTGTCTGAAAGATCGTCCATTGATGTCAGTGGGGTGTTAAAGTCTCCTACTATTATTGTATTCCTGTCAATTTCTCCCTTTATGTCTGTTAGTATTTATTTTGTATATTTAGGTGTTCCTACATTGGGTGCATATATATGTTAACAAGTGTAATGTCCTCTTCTTATATTAATCCCTTTATCATTATATAGTGTCCTTCTTTGTCTTTCTTTTTGGACTTTGTTTTAAAGTCTGTTTTGTCTGATATGAATATCGCTACCCCTGCTTTCTTATTGTTTCCATTTGCATGAAATATCTTTTTCCATCCCCTGACTTTCAATCTATGTGTGACTTTTGCCCTAAAGTGAGTCTCTTGTAGGCAGCATATTGTAGGTACTTGTTCTTTTATCTGAGCAGATTTGAAATTTTTATTCTAGTTATGCATTTTCCAAATCCAGAGTTTCTATTTGGTTCCTTAAAAAAAACAAACAACTCATTTTTTCCTCTTTATTGATACTCTCTCTTGGGTGAGGCATGATTGTCATGCCTTTAACTTTTTAATTCCCTTTAATTCTTTAGATATGGTTTCTTTTGCTTCTTTGAACATATTTATATTAGTTGACTTAAAGGCTTTGCCTAGTACATCCAACATCTGGGCTCCCTCAAGAATAATTTCTATTGACTGCATTTTTCCACTATATATGGGCCATACCTCACTATTTCTTTGTGTGTCATAGCTTTTTGTCAAAAACTGGATATTTAATATAGTGTGGTAACTGACAATCTTATTTCCCCCTTTTCCATTCTCAGAGTTTGTTTTTGTTGCTGTTTGTTATTGTTTGTTTAGTGACTTTCCTGGACTAATTCTGCAGTCCTTATTCTTTGTCATGTGTGGCTACTGAAGTCTGCTTGGTTAGCTGAGTCTTCGGATGATTTGACAGATTTTCTTAAATGCTTTTGACCAACATGTCTCCCATCTTTTTTTCAGTGGGCATTTTGTGTGTTGGGGTATGCATAACTGTGCCTAGTCTTCCCTTCCTAATTGTGCAGAAACTCAGTCAAGCATGGGTGAGAGGCTAGAGCTCCGTAAGCTCTTACCTGGGTATTTGCACAGCCTCCTAGATCCCCAGGAATATGTCAGAAATTAAAGCCCCTTATGGGCATCTCATTTCTTAAATTTTCTTTTTAAGTTTTTTTGGCCAGACTCTTGTTTGCGCCAACTAGAATTAGTACCTGTGGCAACTGCAGTGTTAAGCAATCGCTGCTGTTTTTTTGGGAGACAAACCTCCTGGGGATAGGGCTTTCCTCACTGAATGTTCTCAGATTTAGATGAAATAAAAATTCGCTTCGGGGAATTCCCTGGTGGTCCAGTGGTTTGGACTCCACACTTCCACTGCAGAGTGCATGGGCTTAACCCCTGGTTGGGGAACTGAGATCCCACATGCTGTGTAGTGCAGCCAAAACATTAGCTTCATGAATGGGGCTTTTTTAAGGAGCATCATTCAGGTCAAGTAGTGACAGTGCTCCAGGAACAGGGCTTTTGATGGTGCTCCAAATTCATCTGCCTCCTTCAGTGGCTATTAGGCTGCTGGCTTTCATAGCTAGTATGGTTCTGAGGCCCTGGTTTCCAAGGCTACCATGAAGCTGGGAAGAGGGTATGAAATAGAGCAAGTTACAATACCAGAAAGCTTACTGTTCTTATGAAGATTCAGCTGTTCCTCTTGAATAAATGTTCCTGGGATTGTTGCAATCCTTCAGCTAACTTCTAGAGTGCTGAAAAAGTTGATTTTGAAAATTTACACCAGTATTCTCATTGCTTTTATGGAGGAGTGTATTTTCAGAGGTCCTTCATTCATAATTCCAAAAGTGCTTCTCATTCTGTCTTTGCTTTTTTTTAAAAAAAAATTTATTTATTTCATCACGCCAGGTCTTAATTGCGGCTCGTGGGCTTGTTAGTTGCAGCTTGTGGGCTTGTTAGTTGCGGCTCACTGGCTCCTAAGTTGCAGCACACAGGCTCCTTAGTTGTAGCATATGAACTCTCAGTTGCGGCATGCATGTGGGATCTAATTCCCTGACCAGGGATTGAACCCAGGCCCCCTGCATTGGGAGCATGGAATCTTAACCACTGTGCCACCAGGGAAGTCCCCCTGTCTGTGCTTTTAGCCACTATGCACATTGCCTCTGTTCTTTATGATATCTAATTATGGCCTGTGTATATTTATTGTCAGCCATGAAAGTCCAGTCTTCGATTTCATTGAGAGCTGCTTGCGAAATAAACATGAAATGGTTATTTATGAAGCTGCTTCAGCTATCATCCATCTTCCTAACTGTACTGCAAGGGAGTTGGCACCTGCTGTTTCAGGTTAGTTGTATATTTGATAACTGGCTTTTGTTTATTTTCTTATGTTTTTGTTTTAAGTTCCATAGGTCTACAGAATAGGTAATTGAACCTTAGCTCTGTATATGTAGTTTTTACATTTTGATACATATATGGTTTATTTTAGCTGTTTTTTAGTTACAATTGTACCTCCATATCCTTGGGTTCCACATCCCACCAATTCAACCCAATCGATTCACAGTTGGTTGAATCCTCAGATGTGGAACCTGCAGATACCAAGGGCTGATTGTGCTACACCATTTTATAGAAGGGTCTTTAGCATTCCCAGATTTTGGCATCTGCTAGGGGTCCTGGAAGGTCCGGGGTCCAGTCCCCTGCAGATATGGAGGGGTGACTGTATTTCTTTTTCTGAAGTTATCATTTCCCCATATTAAAAAATTTAAGTTTTTACTTAGAAAACAAGTAACTTTAATGCCTTCAGTTCTCCATGTTTAAAAAACCCATTTGCTCTTACAACCATAAATATTCCTACTCTTTAAATTCAGATATTAATGGGTGTATTAACTTTTTTAGGAAAAAAAATAAACTTTGTTTCCTGTATTTAAAGTTTTTATAGCTCAACAAAAAGTACTTTTTCTATTTTTGATGATGTATTTTTCATGTGAATTTTTTTTTCTTTTTTTTTTGCGGTACGCGGGCCTCTCACTGTTGTGGCCTCTCCCATTGCGGAGCACAGGCTCCGGACACGCATGCTCAGCGGCCATGGCTCACGGGCCCAGCCGCTCTGCGGCATGTGGAATCCTCCCGGACCGGGGCACAAACCCGTGTCCCCTGCATCGGCAGGCAGACTCTCAACCACTGTGCCACCAGGGAAGCCCCATGTGAATTTTTGATGCTGTCATCTAATTGCCTTATGCGTATTTTGAATGTGATTCTTCATGTACTATATTTTCAGAAACATGCTATATGTTGAAATGAGCTATGTTCACAGTGACCTTTTTTCTTTCCTAGTTCTTCAGCTTTTCTGTAGTTCTCCTAAGCCAGCTTTGAGATATGCAGCTGTGAGGACCTTGAACAAGGTAGGTGTTCCTTTGCTAACTATTGACTTGTATCAGTGTTCAATTGAGAAACAGTAAATACGAAGCATTTGGCTTTCTGTCCAAGGTTAGTAGATATGATTTATGGGCTTCACTTCTGTAGCACCTCACTTGTATTTGCAGCTTTAGATATGGCCATTTATACTATTATTCATGTGCTCAGTAGCCACCTGTAGTTAGTGACTATCATATTAGACACTGCAGATACAGAATATTTCTATCATTACAGGAAGTTCTCTTGGACAATGTTGGTCTATAGCAACACTATCCAATAGAAATACTATGTGAGTCACATATGCAGTTTTAAATTTTATTGTAACCACATTAAATTCTTTATGATGAGATTAATTTTAAACATATATTTTATTTACCCTAACGTTTATAAAATTTATCAACATGATCAGTATAAAATTATTAGAGATATATTTTACCTTCTGTTTTTTCATACTAAGTCTTTGATATCTGGTGTATATTTTGTATTTACAGCATACCTCTGTTTGGAATAACCACATTTCAAAGGCTTAGTAGTCACATATGGTTATTGGCTACCATATTGGACAGCATAAATCTAGAGGATAGAGTGCAGAAACACAGAATGAATTAAATAACTATAAAAATTTTATTTATTTATGTTTTTAAATATTTATGTGGCTGTGCTGGGTCTCAGTTGCAGCAGGCAGGCTTCTTAGTTGTGGCTTACCAGCTCCTTAGTTGCGGCTCGCTGGCTTCCTAGTTGTGGCATGCGAACTCTTAGTTGTGGCATGCATGTGGGATCTAGTTCCCTGACCAGGGATCGAACCTAGACCCCCTGCATTGGGAGTGCGAAGTCCCAACCATTGTGCCACCAGGGAAGTCCCTAAAAATTTTAAATGCAAGTTTAATGTTGTAGAATAATGGTCTAGTGTAATATGTGGTCGACTAAATTAATTGTATTAACAACTGGAGGAGAGAAATTTAGAGCAGCCATGGAAGGAGGCTTTATAGAACAATATGAATTGTATTTTGAAGAGTTGATATCGGTCCACATTCCATCATCTATAATCTTGGGACCAGATGTATCTCAGAAATCAGTATTTTGAGAATTTTAGAGAGGTAATATGGTGCCATCTCTTATATTAATACTAACCCCTTTGGGCCTAGAGCAGTTAGACACATTAGACATGTTAATATTTCTGCTTTATACGTATGACTATCCTCACTACATGGAATAAATTAAGACTTAGTTTTACATTAGTTTGGGTCATTTTTTGCTGTTGAGTGAATTCTGATGGCAATACTTTGCTGAGTTCTCAAAATTTTAGCATTATGGGTAAAGGATTCTATACCAGTATTGGATTAGGAAGAGAGGCAAACATCATCAACAAAAGCAAAGAAGCAGGACAATGACAGACATGTTTTATCATGTGAGCAATCCAGTTTGGTTGCAGTTTGCTTGCTTAAATACAGAAGTGTTTTGTAAGTGGTAAGATATTACATTTAAGTGTCTTCGAGTAGTGTTTATCATTCTAGGTCCTACTCTCAGATATTCTAAAATCTAGTAGAATAGATAACCATGAACACATGTACTATAAGGACGAACAGGCCAACTGTAATAAAAGACAGACTATTATATTGTTATAAAGGTTATAGAAACCTAGGAAGATAAAGTGCTGTGCTATACTGTAACTAGCAGTTAATCACTTATCAAATGATATATCGTATCTTATTTATTACAAACATTCATCTTGAAACAATTGCCTTTTAACGTATGTTGTCCAAAAAGCCATTTACCTTAATTAAAATTTCTGACCAGTCCCTCCCATCAAGCCTCTTAGATAGCCTCATCCACCAGAGGGCAGAGAGCAGAAGCAAGAAGAACTACAATCCTGCAGCCTGTGGAA